CGTGGGAAATGAGATGCGTTTTGTCCAGTGGATGAAAACTGATATTCGTCTAGCGTCGTTAGAAGGACTTCACCAGATGCCGCCGAAATAACGTAATGATGCTAAAAATTATGGAAGAAAATGATACAGTATTGTCGAAAACACTTGACCTGAACGACTCTTCACTTGCTGATTTTTGAATGTACATCTGTAGATGTTGTGCGTTACAGTTTGCGAATGACATACCCTGAGCGGAACACCCTCCTCCCCGAACGCTACTCAAACTGCAAGGTAGCACGCAAGCTAAATTTGGTCCGATTAAAAGTTGTCACAGGCGACTCTTGTGTGATTTTGTTTTGGACTAGAATAAACACCCGAATTTCAGACTGGTTATCGTGTCGACAAATCCAACTCGATTATTGTGACAAACTAACGTCCCGAAAATCCAGACTAGTTTTTGTCTAAAAATGGAACTCAAACATTTTATTTGATTGGCTTACATGACCACTATGTGGAAGCTTGTTGCATTTCGCTCGGATATATAGATGGACGATCTGTTAACATCGTAAATTTTGGCACCTACGCAATTACTCAGCTGAGAATAATCATCCATATGACTTGAACTAAGATAAAACACCAAATGACAAGAATAAACGGATCTGTTTTAAGACCACGAGGAGTTTTAAGGAGGATAGCCTTTCGAGCAATTCGATTTCACGAGTAACGATGTGGCTTCCTTAATTGGAATCAGTTTTGTAGTGCCTATGATGGGGAAACGACCTTCCCTCAAAAGAAACTACTCAGTGGCACGTATTGGATGAACTATTTTGTGTAATTTTTCAGTTGTTCTAAAACTCGATTCCAAGTATCGTAAACTGAAGTGGAAATGGTAAGGTGATAGCATGAATTTTCTAGTCAACGATAGATTTGACAATTTCTTATAAAAGATCTCCGTGTAATCGTCGTGAAAGTCCGGAGGTTTTGCTGGCTTAAACGTCCGACAGAATGTGCTGTTAGCCACGTGCCATGATGTTTCACAAGTTCTGCTGGGATAAAGCCCGGTTTTTTTTGCTTTCGTTCTTCCCTATTTTAATGAACTTGGTTCAAGCTTTGCAATGTGATGAAGTTGTGATCTTCAAAAGAGGTTTGTAGGTAAACACCGCTTTACAACGCTTTACAAACACTACTATACCAAATTACGTGTAACGACTGCACTAAGGTCTGTATAGGACAGACCGCCAGGGAACTTCACACCAGAATCGGAGAGCATAGTAGAAAAATAAACAGGCCGCGGATGAATATCAAGCGTTACTAAAAGACTCGGCAACTTGGGAACACGCACTGGACACGGGACAAAATAAATTTAGATAATCAATTGGAAAAAGTTTGGAACCGATTGAGAAGTCATCATTTCAGAAGAGCTTGGTAAACCCACCTCACAGAGGCGGTGGAAATCGCCAAGCGTCCCAATGTTAACAGAATAGAAGGCGTGGAACTGGCAAGCGTGTGGAGAACGGTTGTGGATTGGTCGAGGTGACACGTGTTGGTGTGCGGTCATCAGAAGGAAGAGTAGTGATACTCTGAATTCCACTTGACCTCATCACCCCTCAGACTAAATTGTCGGAGCACTCGCAACCCCACAAAGACCAAGGAAAGTCTACCAGTGGCACCCGAGGTGAATCGTCAACTGAAGCACCCTGAAGTGGAAGATTAACGAACCAAACCCGATCAGAATTAATTTGAAACTCCCAAAATCCACCAGCGCAAGATTTTGACAACCACACTAACCGACAAGAGCCGTTAATCGATACTCAACACTGGTCTAGTGTGATAATCTGCATAGGACTGACTTACTGATTGGTTCCTCGTCTGTCTTATAACCCGGCCAATTTAGTGACCTGCTCACTTGGCCTGATGAAGCATTTGTGTCCAAATAAAAACTACCGATTGTTTACCAAGCCCCTCTGAAACACCGCTTTAGTTACCGCTGAAGACATGTCGCTCAGGCATTTGAAAAGAGTATCAATTGCAATAATTAGAATTCGTTCAAAACCTTGAGTTGACTAGCCAACTGCACTTTCGACACTTTATCGAGTGATGTTTGCGTTTCTTCACAAACCCGCATACAAGGTCTAACTACAGTAATTGAATTGTGGGCACCTTCTAGACGAACTTCAGTTGTTTTTTTAACTATCAGTTCCTGAAGTGTGGTTTCTGTACCTATTCGGATACCTCTAAATAGTCGCCAATGTGTTATTCTCTGGGGACCGATATCCTGATGTTTATTGTTTCCACTGGGGGGAGGGGCGAGATGACTTGATGGTTGGAGTGCCAATTTACTCACCGGAAGGTCCGTGGTTGGATCTCGACCTCTATCTCTCGGCTTTCCCTGTCTAGGCTCGGGCGACCTGGTAGTATCCCAACCCTCGTGCTTCCTTCTGTTGGCATGGCAGTTAGCCACCGAAAGGGTGCTACAGCTGCGATTTTTTTCACTGTATGCATTTATGCACCAACCTACTGTAGCTCATACACATTAGAAGAATTACTGTCCAGGAACAACCGCCCTTTCATTTACCAATGGAAGTTCACCTACAGCCTTGATCACTGGAAGTGTTATTCACAGGCAGCATGTTTCAGCTCAGCTGGGGCGCGACTTGGTAGCATGTTTATTTTAAATCTGCGTCGTATTAGTAATGACGGGTGGACGCCTAAGTGAGAGCTAGTCACACTGCCGATCAGCCAGCCGTGGACAAACGGCAATCACTAGCCGGAAGGTTGCGGGTTCAAGCTTCCCCGAAGTTTCGTAAGATTCCAAATAAGGATGAAACAGCTGTACGGTGCTTCTCAGCTTTCCAGCATAGATTGGTTTCACTGAAAAGATGAGGTCTCTATTGAATGACGAATTTAAAATATCCAATATAAAAACCTCGAAAAACAAGTAGACGTTAAGAGGGTGTTGTAAGACTGATAGCTCTTGGGCATTCATTGGTAATCGATCAGGTAGCTGTTCAGCTGCTTGCCGAAATTTTAAATCGACTTGCATGCATTTCGTTAACACTTGAGGTAAAATGTTTAAAACTTCGTTATATTGGATCTTTTCATCCGTTGTACTTCGGAACTCAGAAAATTGATCTAATCTGCATGAAGCGTTCTCCGACTTAGCTTGTCTAGGTGCAAAGCTTAGCTGACCTGAAATGAAGATTCTGCGACTTTTATTGTTGCAACACTATTGAATCATCCGGGCGCCCGCTTTTGTAATATGAAATCAGTCACAGTTTCTTTCACAACCTGTGAAAGAAACTTCATTTTGAACATCACTAATGTTACAGGACTACAATAAATCAGCTTTTGAGCTTGGTGACAAGAGAGATTCAATAAACTCGCAGCTGTTTGTGGGGTGACGAAGGTCCGGGACATTGTCTATCTAGATCCTTAAACAAAGTGATGGTGGTCGAGGATCCCTCCATGTGATTGAACCACAAAATAGCCCAACCAAATAAGTAGTTTATTTCATTTAAAAGTGCGATTGCCTTAGAACTTTTCTGAGTAAAATCAAACCGATGGAGGTTAATTCATTTAAATAGTAAGTCATTTTCCGATGGTTTCCAACGTTACGAGTGGGTTAAACTGAACCAGCCAGGTAGTCTGGCAGTACATCTAACATACTTAACAAAAGCTCACATTTTGCCTGGGTAATCACTGCATTAAACGTCTTAGTTATCGGAAAGATTTTCTCCCTTTTGTTTGCAGCTGTTGAGTATAAATGTAAAGCTGTCCTGTCTTGTACTACTTCACAGTCGTTCCGCTCACATCGCTCAAGTGTAAACATGTTCGCCTGTTCGGACGTGGAGATTCAGATGCGTCCAGCGTGCGCTGGTGAAGTAGTAGTAACACGCTCGCCTCGCATGTCATATGTCCGGTATGGCGATTGGATATGCACCGATGATGAGCTCTAATAAGAACGAAACTCGAGTTCAGTGCTTTTCCCCTTTGATGTGGACTCGCCAGAATAATTAAGCCAGAGGAGGAGGACGACTGTTCAAAAGAGAGTGATGTAAATATGAACAATATATATCCCGCAAAACCTCACAACGGAAAACAAAAAGGTTGTCCAGCGGGTTTCCATAGTCTGTGATGCTACCTGACTGGAGAGTCCTTACAGGCAAGTTAATGGATCGACAGACTCGTTGCAGATACTGAGTCGTCTTTGCAGACATCGAGTAAACCAGTCGTATAGCTCAAGCTTGAACAAGTTCGCCTTTTAAGGCATCGTGCGCCAATGGAATAGTGGTAACAAGCTCGTCTTTAATATCAAACCGTAAGGCTTTTGTAAGGGGAGAGTTCCAAGGGAGAGGTCACTTTCTCTGTGGGTTGAACTATGGCCTGCGCACAACCATTTACTACACGCAAGACGACGGAATTAAAGTCGATCGTTGTAGGGAATCACAGTCGTGGCCCCTGGATCTAGTCCCTTCGGTTAATACAACTCAACTGGACTATTTTCATAAGCCCGATGTCGTTCAGCCAACACACACCCACACCGACTGACAACTAAGGGATCGACAACTGTACAGAGATGTTGGACGCTCCATTTTGACTTCACAAGATTCTACGTAGCTGAGAAGGTGATGGGCAATTCTATTCCTAATCTGGCTAAGGGGTTGAAGGTTGAGTGAATGATCCTTATATTGAGAGGAGTAACGAAATAGAAAATCACCATCTGCCAATCTAGAATAATGTTGAGACAGGTCTTCCAGCAGTGTTGCCTTGCGTTAACGTAAAAGTGGCAGAGGACAGGCAAATCAAATCTGTAGAGACTTACTTTATCGATTTGGCACAATTAGCTGAATTCTGATATCCTTGAGTAATAAATGTCTTCACTATCAAACCCGAGCTTTTGGTTGTTGAAACGTACTCATTCACGACAAACTAGTGCATAAGCTAAAGTGAATCCCATACGTTTGTTACATAGACCGCGATATACAAAGTATTGTACCACTTAAAAAACACGAAGCGGTCTGTCAATGTGTCGAAATATAGGTAGATCGGGTGTGTTTACTGGTGGCTGATCGGATGGCAGTTGATCCGTTCGCCGAGCTTGGCAATTGGCTTGCAAACGTTTCGTCCCCAGTCAAGGAGACATCGTCAGTGCGCAGTTGAATAGGTGCTTCCTCCGTGCCAAGCTGCGTTTATGTAGTTTTTCGTACATCACATTCATCTGAAGAATATCGGAAACAAGAGATTCAGTTGAGACTCACCTGGCACCCCTCAAAAAGTATCTGCGAGTGTGATTGTATTTCGCGAAGAGTTTCCTTTTATGAAAACTACCAGTTACAAAACCGCTTTCGAAATTTTTTATGACAGTTTTCGGTAATCGATTTTCTTGACATGCCCAAGTCTCAAGACCAAAAGTCAGTTTGGCAGAATCTCACAAAATCCTCACTCATGTATCCAAAAGATTTAAAAGTATCCGTTGATGCAAATAGTACCTGCAATGTAATTTAACGCAATTCCTCACCATCACCTTTGATTTACGTCAGCATATAATGAGAAATTCAAGGACTCCCTGTAGAGTTCGTCAGTGTAAACTAGTCATCAGAACATCTATATGGAATACTTCATTTAAACCACGAATATATAAATATTACGAATATCGGAAACTTAAGTTTTACAGCTTCTGCGTTTTTTTAACCACACTTTAAAACGTGAAAAATAAGTATTAGCACAAATACTTTTGACACCTTACAACCTTTTCTGGCCCCGACGACCTTTAGGCTCGTTAAAGGTATGTTCTGAACAGCGCCGTATTTTGAAAGAACCCATGAAATTCTAAGTACACTCACCGATGATCCCTTTTGGGAGTACGCTAATTATCTTATGAGTGATTCGGTTGGCGCACGATTAGATCGAGCACACTAGGATTTTGCCTCCACACACCGGTTTTTAGGTGTGCGAAACAAGTCGGACACCTGCAAACTTTATGAGCATTTTTGGGATATTGGCCTAAGCAGCAGGCGATCGTTGTTTGGCGTGGGACAGACAACAGTGCGTGGGATCCTGACAAAAATAAACTCCCGTTCAAATATTGGTACGAGAGTTTCCAAGTCTGTCCTGAATACGAGAAACCTCACAGTATCTTCTGCTCTCTGAATCTAATTGAGTTCGTGAATTTAGCGCTCACTGAGAAAGAAAGCCGTAACTGTGTGGTTGTGGGATAAGGTGGCTAGCCAAATCACAATTGCCGACAAAGCGAGTTCATTCTTTAAAAAGCACAATTTGTGGTGAATCAATTCTTCCGCTGCTGTCAGTAGAATGCATACCAGATAGACTATCTCGGAGTTCTGCGGGAAGAACAACATCAGAGATATCAAATTTCTCGGTTAAACTAGATTGCAAGTAAATTCATCAAAAAACTTAGCCCGCTAAATTTCAGTTTAAAGTTGAGCCTATAAACGGCATGTTTCTCACGATACTGAGGACTAATTTATGTATGCCGGATACATTTCTCGTCCTCAGTGTTTCGCTCACAAACGACAACTCCGCTGGATATCAACTTCACATGCCAATTACGGTTCCTATAAATTTTTCAGCAATGAAATTTACCATCGGTCCGATTCTTAGTGAAAACATGTTCTAACTTGCAATGTTTTTGTTTTATGTAGCAATATGCTCAACTGTCTTTGAAGTTTGCTGCATTTTGCCATATGCTTCCGGTTTGCTTCGCTGTCAGCTTGGTCTGTTCTCTACTACCACTTGTGATCGATTATTGTCCGCGTCAGTATCTTCTTGGAGTGGAAGAAACAAGTAAAATGTATGTGAAAGGTATGCGTTAGTAATTATGACGCTTGACGACTGAAACGGTCCTAGAACGAAGTAATTTCAAATCAAGAATTACACTCATTTGCAAATCAATTTGGTTTTCACGAGAGACTCAACTGAATCTCTCGTTTATGATATTCTACAACTGAATGGGCTGCACACAGGCCGTCTTATTATTCACTTGGCATGATATTCGAGATGTCGCAGTACATTTTCATAAAGGGAACTCACAAGGTGGGCTGCCGAATAGTTTTCAGCAACCTTGTGAGTAGTTTCCTTTATAATTTCAAATCACTTCACTTCAAGTCTTGCGTTTGATGATGGAGACCATGTTATATGCGAATTAGGCGGCTTAGAAACCAGTGAAGTTGCATGCGCACATGTGCCGTGCTTCATATGAGTTTCCGAAACAGAATCGACTATCTATAGTGTGAACAGCATACCTGTGTGGAATATCGATTGTGTGCATTAATTGCTCACACCGACTCAGTCCAAAAATTGGATTAGATCGAAAGGTGCGATACAGCGGTTCGGAGTAGTCTATGGACGTGACGCGGTTAAAAAAGCCGTTGTTAATAATTCATCCGTTTGGACAAATATATAGTCTCACTGTGAAACTGTTTTCTGGAGACTGGAGATTAGTTAGATTTCTGACAATTTCCTTTTGCAAAGTGTGAAGATAATTTCCAACCGATAACTCTTCTTTCGTGATTCTTCGATATTAACTTCTGAAGAGTTCTTCCTTTATTATACGAGTAACATCATGCTGTACCTAAAGTCTGAAGTACAATGTACTTAGGATAGAAAGACCGAAAATTCCAAGTACATTATGCCTAGACTCATCAAATAGATCCAACTGATTCTCTACGCACTCTAAAGTCTTGTTAGTAATAGTGTCGAGATAGTTATAGCCAGGGTCCTTTCACCAGTAGTTGATCAGGTGGACATTTATCTTCCAGGTAAATCCCGACAAAATCTCTTCATCAATCAGAGAAATATCGATCGTGTGCGCCTGAGAGTGTACTGTCTCGTCACAGGACGAGACGTGACAAACGGGTTAAGCGAAAGAGGTCCTCTGTCCCTTAAGGAGATTGCGAGAAATCGAGGTCAGTCGTAATTGCCTCGCATCTGGTCTAACCAGATAATGTCATCGACAAAAAGGGCGCCTTCCAATTAATGAACCGACTGCCCATTAACCGACCAAGACAGATACTACTTAAACCTCTACCGACTGTAGAGAATTTTTTCTGTTTGATCCGAGACTGCGCACTCAAAAGGAACTCGAAAGGCTTATAAACCTGAACGGAGGCGCCTGACGTAAGGATGATGATTTGACCTTGTGAAGAGCTGGTTGTTGTACAACCTCCTCCTTCTGGTTCACATATACCCATGAATGCTTCTTTCTTTGCACGTGATTTCTGGCGACTACTGTAGATTTGTGATGCATTTGCCAAGTAGATCAGTCTATCGATGTTCTCCGTCCGTTCAGTTCGCACCACGCCTGCAGTTTGTTCGAGTGTGTCGTACTTAGCCTGGGTTGTCCAAACTTTAAGATAAATCGGACGTAGACTGACTTAATTGCGTCACGACATATCAGGCAGCGTTAATCATTACATCAATGGTTGACATGAGCCGGTAAACCAATATACATATCTAGGTTGAAGACTGCGCAGTACCATTTCTGAATTTATTCATCAGTTCCAGGAATCAAAAGTTTTGTCAGTATGGTTTTAGAGCGTTCGTTCATCGTGTGGGGGTGGGGTAGTGGAACCAAAATCTGCTTTGATAAAACCGATCCCTTCAGAGAAATGTCTCTGATTTGGTGATTTTCATGTGAATGTCAACTACCAGGATATGTACCCAGGACGACTGGGCATTCCAGAACGAATTTGACGTACTTGGATTGTTTTTCAGCTGGAAACTGGAATTCGTCAAATAAGCAGGGAAGCTTCTGTAAATAGTGATTGGAAATACACGGTGCGCTGGAACTTTGCTCTACTAATGGACCGGACGTGTCGAAACATGTGGGACACTTAGCTTTCTAGCATCAAGTTGTTTTCTGGAGGAAAAAGCCTAATGATAACTAACCAGGGAGGTCGAAAAAACTACTCTATTGGTTTTACTGAACAATGCGTTCAAACTAAACAACCCAGTTCAACCGGAAAACCTTCGTATTCGTGTCTGTCCCACCTAAAGAAACACCACGAGTATTGGTGAACTTCAAGAAAACGCACCAAAGAAAGATGTGTTGGTATGTAAGACGTGAAGTAACCGATTCGCAGAAGTAGCAGCGGCCCATCATATGAAAGAGTTGTGAACTTTGAATTAGTGGACATTCACGTCCATGCTTCATGTAAATTATGAACATAAAACAGTCTACTGTTCTCACTGTTACTTCATAGGTTAGAGTGCGAAATTACTGGCCGGAAGGTCCGCGGTTCGAACCCGACCGCTGCATCTCGACTGCTTTTGTCTAAGCTTGAGCAACCTGGCAGTGTCCCAGCTGTCATGCCTCCTATCGTTGGCGTGGCAGCTAGGCAGAGAAATGGTGCTACAACCGAACGATTATTATTATTATTTATTAGTGCTACTTCGTTAGGCACGCTTATTTTGGTCATCTACCTCAAACTTTAACTAACCCTGATGAAGGAGTTGATAATTACCTGTTCGTGGCCGCCTAGTTAACTCGTTACTGGAGCGAGATTGCATTGATTGCAGAGTATATTAGCCAAATGGAATATTGCTCTAGTTTAGTAATGTGAGCTTCAAATAGAACAGAAATCTTAGCGATCGGGCTGTTCGGAATGTGGTTATCACAATAGGCAATCATCAGTGCAAGGGAAACACTTCGAATTCCCAGTTAGTTCATAAACAGGTTCCAGTGCCATTGGTGCCATTCAGTTGCAAATATATGTAACAGCATTAGGAAACTCACTTGATGAAATGCTTCGGGTTACATAAGGCAAACGTTCATTAGGAAACACTGGTAATTTGTGCCAGAAATTGCAGAGTAGCAATGTTCTACACACCTTTAGATATGATCGTACCCTGCTTATCTGATACGCGCATCCATGAAGACCCGTCTAGTCGCAGTTGCATTACTTTCCACTGGTATAACACACTGTGGACAGTGAGTCGTGCGATCCATAAGCGAATAGGAATCTTTATCCGCTATCGATCTGCGCCATCTCCAACGCCACTTTTCTACAAGAAATACATATGTTATCTGACTGTTCAGTCAGCGGATTTACGAGAAAACATACTACTCACATGCCCCCCACAGTAGTATCGCCGGTGCATTGGTAACCTGGCAGGGTTGTCATGATTTAGGTTAGGGCATCAAAAAGTAAAATAGTGGGTTTTTTGGGACAAAACCCCTTAGAAATGGAGGCTTAGAATGTACAGAGGAAGAGCTGATCAGAGCGTGCCTCTCGTAGAAGGTTAAACCTTTTCTTCGTTTTCATTAGTTTTGCTTCTATTTTCAGCATGCGAAAAGACGACAAAATAATTCGGTTTTTCTTCATTTGATTTCTGCAAAGTTTCCGTATTTGGTCGGGCTGTTTCCTTCCTCTGCAGTGTTTGAACTACTGGTCGTATCGCAACTAAGCTTTTTTAGGGCCAGGAATGTGACAGATAACCAGCACACGTTTACTACATACGGAAAACTGATCAATTCAGGTCTCGTGTGTGACCCACATGGACGATTTATTGTGAACAAAACATTTCCCTATAGGATTTTTTCCTCGTCCTAACGTTTCAACCACCCAAGTGAACCAGATTTGAACAGCTCGACTTTTGTTTATTATTTTTATGACATGACTCCTCACAAGTTTTACTGTTGATACATGTTGTAGTCTGTATTGTACAGCAGACCCTGTTATCACTGAGCAAAGATATCATTACAGGTGACATCTTCAGTGAGTATTCATTATTTCCTACGATCGGTTGAGTTTAATATTTATTTGTCTGGCTGTTTTATCTAACAAAGTTGAGTATCAATTTCTTCCACACTTTGAGTCGCACCTCTTGCTCCCTCGTTGGTCATGCTTTCCTCTGAAACTAAGCATGGCGTACTAATCCAGAATGACTAATGACCTGTAGTTTCCACATATAGCACTCTTTAGGGTTCATTTTTTTTAATGAAACTAGAATAGCTTTGTGAGATTTAGCCCATTCGTACGAAAATATCACCTTAGCAACACAATCAAAATCAGAAACACTAAAAACGTTCGGATATGTTTATGCTAGACAGCGGACAACAAAGGTTCCGCAGTCATTTGAGCCACAAACAACCAACACTGTGTTCAATGTCCAAATAGCATTTGTTACACCATCATACAGATCTAAAAGGCTACCAATAAATAATGGATTACTTGTCTGTTTCGCCACATCCATATCCAGGTGCTGGTAATTGTACTTCTGTCGGACCGATGCAGATAGTGTTTTTGTAAACAAGCCTCAGTATGGCGTGGACCAATACACTTGGGATATGAACCGTTGGAAATGTCAAGCTTTAACAAAGTACACCACCTTCAGAAACGAATAAAAGTTTGAATATTATAAAGATGGTAGTATTGTGGACGTTTGTTGCTAAATCTCTGGATCCGTATTAGGGTACCATACCGTTTGAATAGCTTGTCCAGCTGTGTAACATAATTCTGCGTCGGTATATAAAATTGTAGGACAGAATAGGTTAATTCCGTTTGTTGCTTCACCATCATCATCATCGACAGGATGACATCAGTGCTCAACACCGGTTCTTTACTGCCGTACAACCATGATTTATTTGAAAGCCTTATTGTAAGGAAAAAAGTAAAGGTGGACGGGGCAGGGACTTAGTGCCAGCTTAACACAATCATTCCGAGATGACTACACCTCCAGACATTCACGCAGGCAATCTGGATAGAAACTGACAACAAGAACGCCACTGACATCGGTTGGCAGCCGTATCTCGTAGTGTTTCCAGCCAGGCACAGTGAGGATCATGCGGTCCCCATCCTGGAAGGCGAGTAGCACCAACAGCACCCAAGCGTTTCGTGATCTCCTTCATACTCCTCTGCCAAGTCGAGGGTTAGCCACCTCTCTATTTACGCCACTCTGAATTTGGCATGGAAAACAGCACTCTCTTTGGCAAACGATGGTTCGGCATACGCAGCACATGTCCCAACCAACGCAGCTTCTGTTGCTGGACAGATTCTTCAATGGAAGTACCCGTTGCACAACCAAAAACTCGCTTTCTAACTGCCTTTTTTACGGATACGTTGATACCAACCCACACGGACTATGATTCTGAGACAACGATTGTTGAACACCTGAAGACGTCTGTTTCACTGCTGGAATAGGCCAAGTCTCATAGCCATACAACAAAACAGCCCGCACTGTAGCTTGATGCACACGTCCCTTGAGATTCAGGGATAGACCATTCTGTCGCAGTGTCGTAACGATAATTTCTCCGAACTGAGTGAAACTCAGGATGGGAAAAAATGGTCCGAATCTATAAGCGTCTTGTCTTGGAACGTCTTTAAAGGACACAAGCTCCGAGTCATGCAGATGCAGGAAGTATTGAGCCATTATATATTGATATATACCTTCCCTATGGAGGACAAGCAACATGGGCCCATTATAAAAGGTTTCGTTGTTAGCGTTAGGCGCTATCTGATTTAAGTTCTAGTGAATCTGAGCAGCCATTTGGGAGGTAAAACTGTTCAGGACAACGGCAACTGTTCAACTCAGGCTGCTGTCTGATTGTCGTGGATCATTGCGGTTCACTGTCCTTTTGAATCTTGTAGTGGTCTGGTTCCTTTAAACCTCTTCAAACAGCATGATATGTGTGACAACTGGAAACCTTCGAGATATGCTTAGTTTGTCTCTCACAGTAATTCTTTTTCTTATTTTCGTGTACTGATTAAGACAGTGCGTCAAAATTTTCAAGCCAAAATTTTCGTCCGCTATGGTTAAGATATTATCCTGTTTAAAAGACTTTCGGTGGATCGGTCTGTACATTTGTGCGCATAAAGTATTGCTTATCAGAAGATACACTGTCCACAAGGTTGCTGAAGACTCTTCGACAGCTCAGGATCAGTTTTGCTCTTCTTCGGATGTAGGCGCGGTCCTCTAGTTTCCGTTAACTTTCACGCCTCATATCATTCATTGTCGCAGTGTCGTAACGATAATTTCTCCGAACTGAGTGAAACTCAGGATGGGAAAAAATGGTCCGAATCTATAAGCGTCTTGTCTTGGAACGTCTTTAAAGGACACAAGCTCCGAGTCATGCAGATGCAGGAAGTATTGAGCCATTATATATTGATATATACCTTCCCTATGGAGGACAAGCAACATGGGCCCATTATAAAAGGTTTCGTTGTTAGCGTTAGGCGCTATCTGATTTAAGTTCTAGTGAATCTGAGCAGCCATTTGGGAGGTAAAACTGTTCAGGACAACGGCAACTGTTCAACTCAGGCTGCTGTCTGATTGTCGTGGATCATTGTGGTTCACTGTCCTTTTGAATCTTGTAGTGGTCTGGTTCCTTTAAACCTCTTCAAACAGCATGATATGTGTGACAACTGGAAACCTTCGAGATATGCTTAGTTTGTCTCTCACAGTAATTCTTTTTCTTATTTTCGTGTACTGATTAAGACAGTGCGTCAAAATTTTCAAGCCAAAATTTTCGTCCGCTATGGTTAAGATATTATCCTGTTTAAAAGACTTTCGGTGGATCGGTCTGTACATTTGTGCGCATAAAGTATTGCTTATCAGAAGATACACTGTCCACAAGGTTGCTGAAGACTCTTCGACAGCTCAGGATCAGTTTTGCTCTTCTTCGGATGTAGGCGCGGTCCTCTAGTTTCCGTTAACTTTCACGCCTCATATCATTCATTGACTACATCCGTGAACTAATTAGGTTTATCTTCTTGTGTTTTTTTTGCTTTCCAAGTTTTCATTAATCCTTTGATCAAGTGGTTGGCGTTTTCTTATCCTAAGATACTCGCTTCAGATCTGATCATTGTTTTCCCATCCGTATTGTCTTTGTTCGCTGCACGTTACAACACTGAGAGATGGTATAATTGAGCGCTTGAATTGTCATCGCTATATCGGCTCAGAAGACCCTTCAACCCATACTGTCTATATCTGAGGCCTATTTTCATTGCAGCAATGTGGAACCTCGCTACTGCTTTGTTCTGGTTCATCCTGGACCTCCGGTCTTCACATGACATAGTGCCAAATAGGTTTCGGTAGCAGCGCTATCGGACAGATTCTACGGGTATTCGCGCCACTGGTTTTCAATAAAATAGACATTGTCGGTCAAAGTGCAGCGTTGTTTACACGCTCTCCCTGTGGAACATTAATTGCACACACAGTGTAATATCAATCGAGGACATTTCATACTGTCTAAAGCCGGCCGGTCGGTTTTTATCATTTTTGTTAGCTTCCAAATTATATACCAATTGGAATGCTGTATCCTTTCAACAAAGACCAACCCAAAGAATCCATAAAGATTACTGTCTTTTGCGGGTATTCACCTTGAGACCGATAGTTCTGTGCCGTCCTTATCATCTTGTAGCCCCTTTGGTGCAACGCCTCGTCAACAGATCAGGAAAATTACCCAGACGTTTTCCATTTATGGATCTGAGTTG